CAATGGCAAGAGAATCAGCGGCCAAGGTTGCAGAATTGTCTCGGTTGCAAAAACCTTTCATGTCTTTGCTCATAACTTTCTGGCATTTTTGTATTTGAGGCGGAATTTTTTCAGACCTGGCCTCTGCCAAAAGGCAAATTTCATTTGAGCAAAGCTGGTTGTCTTGTTTCTGAGCCTGGAAGTGAGAGGCAATAATAATAATTTTTTTTAAAAAAAACAGACTTCCGTTTCATTTTTTTTTCTTTTGAATACTTTTGCAGTGAAAGTGTGAAAGGTGATGTTTCATGTAGTAACAGCCTTGACTGAGGAGCTGTGCCTTTCATTGGCCCAGGGAAAACTGAGTTTGATTTCACTGAATTACTGGTATTGGAAAATCACCTGCTGGGCTTTGCAGTGTTGCAAGGACTCACCTGTTCAATAGCTCTTTGAGAAAACTTTTTGAAAGAGGGGAAGCCCAGTCTTGGATTTAGCAGGTGACTCGTGGGAAGGTGTCTCTGGCTAGTACATCTCCATTGTAAAATTTCTGAGGCTGGCAGAAGCTGAGAACATCCGTGGTTTTCCAGCATGGGTCCGGAAAGTACATAACTGCTTTCTTGTAACTCGGAATGGAAACAAGTGCATCATTTCAGAGGAAAGCTGGCCCCATGCAGAGCCACCTCAGGAGTTTGTGTACCTGCTCCCAGGCATGGGAATGCAGCAGTGACTCCTGGAGCAAGCAAGGGCTTTAGAGCTCCAGCCCCGACTCCCCATGAGCCCTTTCCCTCCATGCCTGCCATTCCCAAGGCTCAGAAGCTACGGTGTGTGAATGCAGACACAGGCTGAGCCTGATGCTGGAGATGTTGCCACATGCTGGAGAACGTGATGTTGGCAGAGCTCAGGGGCCTTGAGGATGTGTCTAGGATGTGCCCTGAATGGAGCTTACTCTGTTTGCTCAAGCCCTGCTTGAGCAAATCACCCTAATTGTCCTTTGGGAGCCCAGGCAGCCCCAGCAGTGGTGGACCGAATGAGAGTGAATAAATCCAAAATGGACCCACTGGGGGTTTATTTTTAATTTCTTATAGAAATAGTGGGACAGCTGTATTATTAGAGGTTTCCAACCACCCAGGTTACCTAAGGGTCCCCCTGTGGCTACAGGTAATGTGGTGCTTCCCCTAGAATAAATAATTGCTTTTCCCTAAAATCAAGAAGGACCTATGCCTGAACCGTGGTTCAGCAAGTTGTTTTATCCCAAGGCCCTGCACATCTTTAATCTACGACCTCTGTCTAAATATGTTAAAAGGTTGGATATAGTAGACAGGGAGTGTCCAGGAGAAGATGCAGCGTTGCTTGGAGATGCCTGTGCTAAGTGTATGAATGGTGCAGGTTGAGATTGTGAGGACTGGGGCAGTGAGCACCAGCTTCTCTGGACCCCTCTTGACAAACCCCGCTTCTTAGTTCCTTCTAATGCTGCAGAATGGGCATTTACATTCTCTGACAGGTCGCCTATTCGTCATAAACGCATTGAGGCTTAATTGCTAATTAATTTTCTGTGGATAATATAGATACATTTTTTTTCCTCTGTGTGTGAAATCTAGAAGAACTTTCTGAGAACCAGCCACAAACGAGCTGACTGTAATTGCTGTTCTTTCACTTAGGTGGGAAGTAACAGTTCATCAACTCTTAATTAGCTTGGACTTCTTAGAGAGCAGTTTCCAATTTTTTGACGGAAAGTTATACATCTTGTTTCTCCTGTAGCGATACAAAGAAAGTCATTTTATCTTGAATTGACAAATCGGGCTGCGCTTGTTGGTGTTTTCTTCTTCCTGCTGGTGAGTGCCAAGGTGCGTGTTGTACCTGGATCGCTGAGCAATTTATTCAGTTAGTGTTGCTTGTCACGGAGAAAAGAGCACTGATTATACAAGAAAGAGAGTTTGAGCTCAGTTTAATTAAATTGTGAATGGGTAACCAGCAGCTTTGAGTGATACATTAAGATACAGAGCAGCTTTTAGGTATCTCATCAGCATCAGAGAAGCCTTGTGTTCTGTGTCTGTTGTAGGTAAATACCATTTCTGTTTGTTGTACGGGTAGGAGGGCTGTGGCAGCAGAAAAATGAAGCCACCTCGGGTTAGTCAGACCCAAAAATGTATTTTGCCAGGACAAATCGTCTGCCTGGCTCTTACCTGCTTGGCTTGTGAGCCCAGGAGCGAGCCCCTTCAGGAGATGCTGCAGGGGAAGGTGACCATGCGACACGAAATGATGATGTTGCAGCGGGATCTGCCCCAGCCCTGGCGTGGGCTCACACTGCTGTGATCTCCACAGCCCCGGCTTGTGTGCGATGCTCGGGCGGGAGAGACATGAGATGGATGAGAAACTCCCAAATAGTAAATCCCCCTCTTGCAGCCTCTCGCCTGCCGGTGGAGTAACCAGAATTTGCTAGTGGTGGGTGCACACAACTGCGGTGCTGGCCGTGGCGTGGACAGCAGGGCCTCGGGGAGAGGGCAGGCATCAAATCCCCCTTTGTCTTGAGACTCGAGAGGAGAGGCTTTGATAAGCTCTGGTAGCATGTGCTGCAGGGGTTTCTTCTAATTAAACTGAGGTCCTTGAGCAAAGTACCTTCTAATGGGATCAACTTTTGATTTTTTTCATATGAGGACCCCCCCCCCCCCTTTGAAGGGAATTAAATTATAGGGGTTTAGGTGCCTCTAGCAGCCCACTGGCAACACTCTTGCACTGGTGTCTGTAGGAAGAAATCGGCTTTTAATAGGAAAGATGGGCAAACACATTTTCTGCATAAGTGATTAAACCAAACTTCTGCTAAGACCTAGTTTGCTCAGAATCTTTTAAAATCACATAAATCAAATTTTAAACTATTAAGCAGGACATGATTGTGTCTGGAGGAAGCCAGGCTATTAATGCTCAGTGTCAGTTTGTTAAAATACTGCAGGAAGTTTCAGTTTTAGCAGCCTGCTGTGCAGATGCAGAGGGTGTTTTCACTTGCTCAATCCGCTTGTTGAGTTTTAGCTTCATTCAAATCTGAGAAGCCAATGAGAGCTGATTCATGTAGGAAAGCTTGTGTGACCCTTACAGTCTGTGAACATGGACAAGACCCATGGAAATGAGCTCTACTAGTTATAAAATTTTAGAGGTAATTGTAGTCAATGTCATTCCCTCAAAAAATAGTTTTGTTTAATAAAGTTTTGTACATGCAGTATGCATTTTTCAGATGCTTTTCTTTCTTTTCTTATATGCCTAGCACAGTCGAGTTAATTTATATACCTAAATAATGCTGTTTGATTTTAAGTGAATAGCGGTTTCCCTCCAACTAGAGCTTATCATACTTCACAAAAAAAAAAATAGTAATTTAGATTTAAAGAGTAGTATAATCAGATTTGCTTCCAAAAGGCCCTAAAAAGTACAAATGTAATTGAAATGAAAATTATTATTTAAATAATTTTTCCTCTTACTGGCTTAAATGGTGATTAAAGTTGCTCATGTAAATCAATAAATTGAGTCAGGCTGGTCCTGCTATGAGTTTCCCACTGTGCAGTTTCAGAGAGCCTCAAGGTAGCTGGTAGTCGAGAGGATGGAAATACCTAAAGATGTTGGTAAGGGAGGATCTAATCTGTCATCTCTACCCTGCTGTATGTAGCAAGAAGGTTGCATTTCTGTCACTTTCATGCCCACTGAACCCAGGGTGTAAAACAATTTAGTTGTTTATACCTAAACAAAAGCAGGATGCAAATCCAAATAAGAAATGGGATGAGAAGGTCAAACATGATAATGTTGGCCTCAGTTCAAAAACACTTGAGCACAGCCCTGTCTTTTGAATACATAATGAGACGTGCCTGTTGCTGTCACAGCACTTGGGACTCTGGCACATGCTTCACGGGCTGTGCTTCAGAGCCAGGGTGGCTGTGATGGCTGGGGCTGATGGGGACATCTCTGTGAAGGTCTGGCACCATCACTGGTGGCAGCACTGCTCCACCTCACCAAGGCTTTGGAAATAATGTGTCAGAAAATAAGCATTGAGGCAGAGAAGAAAGGTGGCTCAGACAAGTTGCACTGATTTCTCCAAAGGCAACTTCAAGCTGTGCAGTGGGTCATGGTGACTTTGGGTCAGCAGGGATAATGGTCACGTCCTCTTCAAGTAACTGTGCTGCCCCGTAGAAGAGCTTGTGCCTGCAGGGACCTTGTCTTAGGCCGCTGTGCTTTGTGCTTCAGACATGTATGTTGTACTGGAGCCCTGCTGGCTTCCCCAGATTATGAGAGCCTCAGGCAGGAGTGGCAGTCTTCCAAGGAAAACGGAAATTGGGAGGAGGCGGAGGGGACGGGTGGAAGTTCTGTTTTAAAATTGAAGAAGCTGCAGTCTTCTCCAGAAGAACCCTCACTTTTGTGTGATGGCAAGAGCAGGCAGTGCTGGAGGAACTCCAGCCTTTGAGGTGATGAAATGGAAAGCTTCAGGTTATCTTCTTGATGAAATCTTTATCCTACCTCATTCTGGTGTGGATGCTAATATTGCCAGACTAGTCTGGCTCTAACAGCAGTCAGTACAGCACAGACCTCGACTGCCTGAGCAGCAGCCAGGCATCTCGGGTGTTTGCAGCGTTTTCTAGCGATGTTCAACAAGTGTCAGCTTCTGTGCCAGAAGCGGCTGGTTCTTGATTTGGAATTGAGTGTCTCGTGCCAGTTGTGGCAAGTTACAGTGTACATCAGCAATGTCAGTCCATGTGTTCTGTAAAGAAAACTTGTAACACTGTGGCACCTTACATGCTCAGAGAAGAGCCCGATTCTGGTGCCGGGAGAGGCCCAGACCATGGTGCTTGGGCCCTGGGGGGGTTCCTCCTTCAGTCTTCTCAGCTAAGGCTCAAGACTGAGAGCACGGGTAAGGTCAGTTGGACAAAAGTTCTGTTCAGGTCCTTCTCTTTTCTCAGAGTGTCGGTTGTGCTGCTGGACCATGCAGCCCGTTGGATTCCTGCTTGTCCAGCTGATGCATCGCTGTCTCCTTTTTCTTTTCTCTTCAGGTTATTTCCAGGATTTGTTGAACAAGTCGGAGAAAGCCCTTTATGATGCTTTTCCAAGCATGTACGGAGAATTGTACACTCAAAACATGAAGGTCTTCAAGGACTTGTACAGCGAGCTACGCCGCTATTACCGGGGCTCCAACATTAACTTGGAAGAGGCCCTCAATGAGTTCTGGACACGCTTGCTGGAGCGGCTCTTCAAGGTGATGAATCCCCAGTACCATATCACAGATGAGTACCTGGACTGCATGGTGAAACACGCAGAGCAGCACAGACCCTTTGGGGAAGTTCCCAGGGACCTGAAGGTGAAGGCAACCCGAGCCTTCATCGCAGCACGCTCCTATGCGCAGGGCTTTCTTGTGGGCAGCGACGTGGTCAAAAAAGTGTCTCAGGTATGTCAGGGTTCTTCCTTCTTCTCCATCCTCAGATTGTCAGAAGCCAGTCAAAACCTGCTGTTGGGGAGAGGAGGGTTTATTTCCCCTTACATTTTCATTACAAAGCAAGCAAATGTTTTTCAGTTTTATAAAACAAACTGCTTGAGGGTCACCCATCTGTGGAAAGGAGCAGCAAGCCTGGACTTCTACAGGCGCTGATAGCGCAGAAAAAGCGAGGTATAACTCACCACAAATCAGTCTTTACTTCATTTTAACCTATGCAGCAGAGTGCCAAGGAGATGTCAGTCGCCCAGGCTGTAAAGCCATTCTGTTGCTTGCTCGCTTGCTTCTGGACTCCTCGCGCTTCCCTGGCGGGGAAATGGCATGCCTCTAAATCACACCGCCTTATTTTTCCTTATTTCCTTGATGGAAATACGATGTAGGGTGTGCAGAGCTGGCTTGCCTCGAGTGTGCTGGGAATACACGCAGAGAGATGCATTTCGGCAGTCGGTGATGGGATTGCTGTGTGTTTATGTAGTCACGTATATTTGTACAGCTTCTGCGCTCAGAGAGGGTGAGTTTGTAAAGTGCATTGGGATCTTCAGGGATGAAAGATGCTATATAAATGTAAATTAACATGACTGAACCCAGGGTTTCAGGAGGAAGGAAATTGTCTGTATTCTTTACTGCAGAAGCAGCCTTTCAGAGCCAGAAGAAGGTGATTGCCCTGAAACAAGATATTCAGGCTTTTCACACAGGTAGCGAGGAGAAAAATCCATACTAAAAAAAATGACTTTCATACTGCACGTGGAGATGGCGATCAGCAGGTATGAGAATCAGGGCATGATTAAACTGTGAATGTAAAAATACAGAATCGCAATTAATTTCCTCGAAAGGTAACGCATGGTAATGCATAGCAGAGGGTGGTACTATCTGAGGCAGCAAATCCAGACTTTGATCTCAGGAAGAAACATTAATGTGGTAACAGTGACAAATGTTTTAATTTATCAATGTGGGACTATAAAACTGTTCAGCTACCCGAACATCTCATTAACATCTCTCTCCTGACATTTAAGACAGGTAAAAGAGGAGAATGGTGTAATTTCAGGGGGACCAAAGTAAAATATTTTTAATAAATCCTCTGAATGGCAGAGATTTCCAGCTCGATGTGTATGATTCTGCCCGTAGTCGAGTTTGGTGGGTAAGGTGGGCTGGCAGAGCAACTGCTGTCATTGTACCAGTGGAAGGGAAGGACCCGAGATACCGACACACAGCGTATTTTTCCCCCACCTTCATTTTTCCCCCACCTTCTGACCCATTGGATTTTGATTCCAGTCCCCACTTTCTGAATTCTCCTTCTTCTCTTGGCATCACTTATCAAGCAGGATGTGGGTTACACAACTAGTCACAGATCCCCCTCTTCCCCCTGCCTCCCCCCAACCCATTCCTCCAGGATGGAGGGTCTTCCAGGAGGGTCGCAACCATTGCCCTCCCTCACAAGAGCCCTCCCTGGGGTTGCAGTTCACATGTTGCTGTTTTAGCACAATCTGCATGAACTGAGTCAGGAAATCTCAGCACAGCCTCTCTGAGAGCTGATTTTGTAGTGAAGGCCAAAACTGGCCCACTTCCCCTGTCTTCAGGAATGGGTTTAGTACTTTAGGCAAGAGGGGATGAGAATGCTGAGGTGGGAAATCCATTATGGGTGCCCTGGTAGCCTTCAGCTGTGTCTAAAATAAAAGGCCTGGTTTTCCCACTTTCCCTTACCAGATGTGGATTTACACTAACGCCAAATGGATGTGAAGTGATGAGCTCAATGCGCAACAGGTGCTTTGGTTTTAGTCATTTTTCATGTTGCTTTCTACTTGGGATGTTAGCAGAAAGTGTATAAGGCTTTTATTAAGATCAGAGGCTGGGATTTGACTTCCCTGTCAGCTGGCAGCAGAGGTCTTTAAAAATAATAACTGAGCTGAAATTTCTTAGGGAGCAGCGGTGACTGCTTTGGTCAGGAGGTCTGGGGAAAGCCCATGGAAATGGACACATAAAAATGAATTACCTAGCTTTGGCCTTCAGAAAAATTAGATTACTTTGGGATTATTTATTTGAAAATCCCAGAAAAGCTATTGATTTCTATTAAAAACCCTCCTGGTTTCAGCTGCTCACGCACTTCCAGTTTAGTGTTTGTCCCCTGTACCCTACAGCTGTTTCAGGTCCTTGTGCATTACTGGCCATCCTAAAGACTTGTGCTGTTTGCCAAATTTTCTGGCTGTGTTAAAATGGGGAAGAGCCTGCCCCGACTGAGCTACAGGTGGGGATTTTGTGAGATTTCTTTAGTCCTTGCTGCCTCTCCTCTATGCCCAAGTGGTGCTTCTTCCCCAGCCTCCAGCTGCCCGATCTCCTAGGAACCCATCACTTCAGGCAGCCCTTGGCCAGTGGCTGGTGGGTGCGCAGGAATTGGGATGGGAGCAGCATCCTGGGAGCAGGTGCTCTACGTCCTGCTGGGGATAAATAGTTTGAGGGCAGCCAGGGAGAAAATGGCAAAACCATTTCTCATCTTTACTGCCGTCCTAGCTGTTAAGACAAAGTCACCCAGCAGACTGCAGGCTCTGACACCAAGATCTAAAGCTTTTAATGCTGCTGTTCCTGCCACCAACCTGGCCTCACGCTGACAGCAGCGGAAGCGCTGCCATCTGCACGGTGGCTGTGGGCGAGAGTCCAGGGGCCCAGGGCACACGCACGGCTGGTGCAGCTCCTTGCAGCCTGGGCAGAGCGGCAGGGCTGGGGATGGATGTGCAGGTTGGCTCCCTGCCCTGGTACAGGATTTGGGGTTATTGATTGCCACTTCTGAGTGGAGGCGTTGGGGCAGCATCTCTGTGTTCACGGTCAGGTTGCATGTTTCTGTAGCTATTCTTTCAGCACAAATTGCAGGTTCTCCCTTAAGTTGCACAATGCCAAGGGCATTTTTCATTGTCTGCATGAAGCAGCAGCTACCGAAACAGCAGCAGCCACAAAATCCCTAGTGCTGGACACGCACCGAATGGGGTCCCCAGCGATGCGTGGAAGGGCAAGAGAAAAGAAGTATCCTGGGTTTGTTTAGCATCCTTTTCTTGTGAGATTGGCAGCTGCCCAAAAATAGCGTTTGCTGCAACTCCAAGCTTCATGTGAACAGGTGAAGGGCTTGTGCTAGGAGCCTTGCTGCCTGCCAGCTGCTGCTCAGGGGCTCCAGTTGCTGTGTTCAGCCACAAGAGCAAGAACGTGCTCCTGGAAATACACGGTTTAGGTGAAATGAAATACAGGCGGCGGGGAGGGGAAGCAAAACTGAGGCGGTAAAAATGGCAAGGGCTGAGAGATAATGCCTTATAAAACAAAAGCAAAAAATCCTCAGAGATGCAGCATGATAAACAGGAATATCCAGGCTGGGTTTGTTATTTATTACTCACATTACTGTTCAGGCATCATAAGTCTTAGGTCAGGACTATGGCACAAAGTGCTATGGGGACAGGTAGCAGAGGTGATGATGTCTGCACTAGGGCACCCAAAAAGGGCTGTGAGACCGCGCACGAGTCCTTGCTGGCCTCCTGCATCTCAGCACCGTGCCTGTGCTGCACCCACAGACAGGGAGGAAGGCTGCCCCATGCACGTCAGAAAATGTCTGGAGTCCTCAAATTCCCCTCGGAGACCTGGACAACCTGTGAATCTCGAGTGAAAGTATGGAAAAAGTAAAGAAATAATGTTCCGTTTCCAACAGCAGGGAGAGGATGTGTTTTAAAATGAATTTTGCTCATCTGTCAGAAAGTGAGTTATTAGGACAATCTTTCCTTTACCAGATATTCATTCCTTCTTGCTCCTGAATTTTAAGTTTCCCCCTGGTAATGGGGATGGATGTGAAGCAACACCAGCCACGTAAGCAAAAACCACTTACTTAAATAATCAGTTTTAATAGCTGTTTGCAGCTTTTCTCAGTAGATGTTCTTAAGGCTAAATCTCATTTGAGTTTGAAACAAAATATGATTATTTTCTTTACTAATTATAAGCTTTTTCACTAAGCCTGTATTTCATTTTACTGATGAAGTTCACCTATCTGTACATTTTTATTTAAGCAATATTGTGTCTCACAATACATTTCAGTCTTCTTTTTTAAATGTATAGATATATATACACACATATATATACATATATAAAAGGTAAATGGCAGCTTTCCTATTTACCATATGAGTAATTTTTAAACACATGGTGGGTCAAGCTGCATTTGGATGGAAACTGAATTCCAATTAAAAAGGCCCAAAAATAGAATTTTTGTAAGTGTTTTTAACAGCTAAATGAATGTGCTGGATACATGCTTTACATTTCAAACACGTCAGTGATATAACAAAGACACTATGGTCATTCCTAGTCCTCATGTCCTTTAAGATTGTAGCCATCTCTCACACCCCAGTTTTTTCCATAGCTTGTTGACCTCTGTCTTTCAGCTTCCAGTTGCTTTTTGGGTGAACTAGGCATAAAATTGATCTGACTGAATAAAATGAAGTGAAGAATATAATCTCTTTTCACACACTTATGAAACGACTCTGCTAAAACAGCTCAAGTGCAATGAATTCCTGTAGCAGGTGTTTGGTGACACATCTTCATTCTTTCAGTGGCTTATCTTCATTCAGAGCATCAGCAGCAAGTACATACAACCATAAATAGCATTTTATTTCATTTAAAGGATTTCACTTTTGCAATAAAATTAAGCATTTATCTAAATTAGCCTCCTCTTGATCCTGAAAAGACAATATTAATGCTTGTAAATAGGTGTTATAAGAATGCTGTTGCATGGCATTGGCGAGTAGCAATATCCTCATCACCACATTTATTTCCTTTTCACTGGCTGTTATCCTGCCTCTGCTTTGGAGCAGTTTTGTTTTTGCATACCAGAGATGTGTGTTCTTGTGTTGTGGCAGTGACTCGACAGCAGGATACCACCGTGCAGAGACGAGCTTTGCCCCAAGGAGCCATAAGGTGCCACAGTAAATTCTCTC